AAGCACTTATTCTACTGAGCTATCTCCCTGGCCCAATATTTTAATTTTTAAAGCTAAAAATTTACCACAAAGCTTATTCTCAGAATACAACATACTACCTTTTCTTTCTTCATATACTCATTAATTTTATTGATATCAAAATCATAATTTTAGTGACATCAAAATCCAGACCATCCATCAAGGAATTTTCTCACATACCACACACACAAATTTTTTTAAAATATATTTTAGTACAGGGACTGTCTCACTACACAGATCGGACTTGCAGTGATCCTCCTGTTTTCAGCCTCCCAAGCACTGGGATTACAGGCGTGCACCACCACACCCAGTCTCAGTCCCACCTCTATGCACCCTGGCGGGGGATGGGGTTTGGGGGGACGGAAGAAGCAGCACACCAGGGATTGAACCCCCGTCCCTGTGCCTAAGCAGGCACTTTAGTCTACTGAGATATTTGGCCAGCCCAGCATACAAAATCTTAATAATGAAAAATTATTTAAGTATTTACCTACATTTCAAAGTAGAATTTATAAGAATTCACTATCAACATTCAGTTTAGATACTTAAGGTTACCTGGTAATTTCTTTTGAGGTTCTTCTTCTTGTGTCTTCTGATAGGAAGGCTGACTTCCATTAATTGAATCAGTTTGCTTTCCTCCTCTATGATAAGCAAACAACAAATTTAGCATCACTGTCTGGAAATTTTCAGACTAGACAGTACACTTTACCTATGATTTAAGCGAGAAAGCTAAATTCAAATTATGGTGTAGTAAATTGCTATTCTTCGGCAAGTTTCTCTTAGTTTCTTTATCTATAATATGGGGGAAAAAATATCTACTTGTAACATATACTTCTTTCAAGTACATGGGGCCGGGGAGATGGCTCAGTAGAATAAGTGCTTGCCTGGCAAGCGCAAGGGCCTGAGTTCAATCCCCGGTTCCGCAAAAACAACAACAACAACAAAAAACCCAACTCATTGAGGACTAAAATTAGATGCCAAAGAAAATATTTATCTCTCCTCCTAAATATAGTATAGGCCCTCATCAATCCCAAAGTAAAATCACCAACTGATGAAGTCAGAGCTCTTTATCTGCAGATACGGTAGGCTCACCTGAATGAGGGAGGGACGAGCTCAGGAGGCAGAGTCAGTGGCAGTGGCTGCCCAGCTTTGGCCATGTCGGTGAGGTGCATTGCAAGAATAAACTCTTCAGCTTTTAGCTGTCCATCCCCATCAATGTCAGCAAGAGTCCTAGTGAAAATTCACAACTTAGAAAGTCCATCTGAAGTAAATACTGTCTGAGGAATTTAATTCTTAGAATAATAACAATGGTAAAACTGCTAGGTTAGTATATTTTGGTGCAATGTAAATATATACAGAAAAATAAGTTAATTTTTACCCTTAATTTTCAAAACAAGATTATTTTTTTTTTTTTTTTTTTTTTTGTGGAGCGAGGGAGTGAACGAAGGCCCTTGCGCTTGCCAGGGAAGCGCTTATTCCAC